TCATGTCACTTATCACCTGTTGATTCTGTTTTAGCTTCAGATTCACTCTATAGGGACACACGTGACTGGAAAGGGAGCAAATGGTGTTAGTAATCAAGTGAATCATACCATACACAGTACGGTAGTATTAATACTAATATAACATACCCGTGCAAATGCTGTGTTTGGCGAATACATGGGTTTCCACACAGAGATAGCAATCATAAAATACAATCAGAATTACAATTAAAACTTTTGACAATAAGTTTACTTTCAATTCAAATACCCTTTTCATAGCCATATGATAGCGAGTGATTGCATTACAGTTCTCCCATTTGCAGCGATAAAACTTCTTCGAGTCAATGATCACTCGTTCCCGATATCTATTGAGGTTCTCATTACGACAGACGCCAATCACGCCTTTAGATCCGTAGCCAAAGATCCCGAACCCGCAGATGTGGTTCTTCTGGTGTTCGCGATATGTATTCGGGTTTTTGAACACTTTATTACAGTTCGGTTTATTGCACTTGAATTCAACCCCAATGTGCGATAGGTTTATGTGTTGAGCGATCTTTTGGCTCTTTTTCGTCTTAAACTCACATCTCTTCCATTTGCAGAGAAAAAACTTCTCGCCATTCATTACCTGACTTTCGTAGTATTGACGCACTTTCGACATCGAGGCCTATAATCATCACGAAATGAGTTAGCATTCAATCAATTCATACCACAAATAGCAATACTAACCAATCCTTTGCAACTCAACAGAATATTCTCCTCATTATTACTGATATTTAAGTGATTCGTTTGAACCTTTCTCTCATCGAAGCCCTCATTCAATCCATTAATATCTAAACCTTTACTTTTTTGAGGACTAATTGAAGCCATGGATATTTGTTCCAACCATTGGCTGTTATTAGCAAATACTGGATTCCATGGCTGAGGTGTAGCTTCTATACCGAACGGAAGCGCCGGCTCTAAAAGTGGCGGTAAATTAAGATTCTGTTTATCGTTAGGATTTGATCCCTGAAACCAATTTCTATTAGAAGTCAATATCTTCTCCCAAAACTTGGTCTCATTAAATGTGTCCACAGTTTCGAAAGGGTTCTTAAGGTTCATATGCTTGTCATATATATGTCGTGAAATTAAACTCTTTTGATTGCATTCAAACTGACATTCACTCCATTTGCAGTACAGGTGCTCTTTGCCATTCCTATCCCGTCTGCCAATAAACATATCCAGGTCATAGCCCTGCTCGCTCAGCATACAATCCGATTGATTTGAATCGATTTCTGTTTTAATGAATGTTTTCATTTCAATCTCTTTTCCCTCGAAGACTGTCGGAGGAATGGATTCGTTGTCATTGAAGTTTGGCTTTAAATCTGTTCATAATTAAAATCATTAAATCATACATTTTACGGTCAGTGGTAATAAGTTGTCAAAATTCTAATACCATTAGCCATGCACTCCATCTGATCTTCAATTAAATGTCGGCTTAAATGTTGAATGATTTCCGACTCATATCTTTCCGTTTGCTCGCAGTCTTTGTATTTGCAAACAAACCATTCGTTTGAATCAATAGTAATTGAGTCATAAAATTGTGTAAAATTTAATCCATTAATAGTTTCGTCAGAATTTGTGTTTTGTTTCGAAAGACAATCCTTTGAATTATTTGCATATTTTAAGTCGAAATCATGAGAAATATTTCCATTGGAGTTGTGATCGAATTTTCGGTGTCTATAGAGCGCGGCCTCTGTTTCGAAATGAGCGCTGCATTCATGACATCCCAAGTCTTGTACGCCTTTGTGCGCCTGTAGTATATGTCGGCCTAATGTCTCACTGGATTTAGTGGACAGTTGTCCGCATTTGCACTCATAGACCACTTCATTGTTGACTAAAGTTTTGTTGTAATGTTGGCTCAGATTTTCGATACAACTTTCATTTAATCCAATTTCACTCGCATTTTCATTATTAGTACTCTTAGCACAAGAACTTCCATTCACTACCGAATGTCCATTCTTTGGAGTCACAGCAGTGTCTGTGTCGTCATCGACACCATTGATATCAATCAACACCAGTAAGAAGAATACGAATATTTCTGACTTGAGTAACAGTTTGAAACGCAATGTCAGCAGCTGTCACGTCAGTTTGAGTAACGCAGGCTACAGACAGGTTTACACAGCGTGTTCTGAATAGTGGGATTTAGTGGTAAACTGATTGCAATTGCATTTGAAGTAAACCTCGCCATCGACTTTGACTTTTCGGTAGAGATCTGAATAATTCTTCAGTGAATATAAACCACCGGTCGATGACTTGCCGTTTGAATTCGCCTCCATATCCACCTCAAAGTCCATGGGTTTAGAGGACTCACTATTGCTGCCATCAAAACCACCATCACTTTCATCCAACTTTGGGATAATAGACTGCGGATCCAGTTCTATGATCTCAACCAAAGGCTGTTCCGCTCCGTAACTGTTTGTGGAACTGTTATTCGGGTCAATACTATCTGTCGATGAATTCACTTCTTGTACTTCTGTTCATCAGAACTGTTACCATTGTTGGGCATACAGTGGGGACACAAGTGCTGCAAGAATGGAAAATTCAAAGACATCTTAAGAATATTCTGATAACTGTTTGAATTCTGTGTTTAATTGTAAGGAAAGGTATATTTAGTCTCTGATACGAGACTCGTATTAGAGTTTGTGTTATGTTATGATAAAGTCATGGGATTTATATGAATGTCAAAGCAATGGACAGTATTATGATAGGTATGAGCAGTGAATACAAGGCATACCTGGTTGTGGACATGTCTGCGAATGCTTCCCGAGTTGTTGGTCACGAACTCACATCCACTCCATTTGCATCCGAAGACATAGTAATCGTTATCTAATTCTCTGAAATAGTATTTCTTGATATTCTTGACGCCACAGACATTGTTTGGATCTTTCATTTTGTTGGAATCGATGCCAAAACCGCACAAATGGTTCTTCTGGTGCTGAACCAGACTTTCTGGTCGTTTGAAAGTCTTCTCGCAATTCATTTCATCGCATTTCAGTTCTTTGATTCCTATGTGTTTCAGATGGATATGTCTGGCGATGTGTTGCGAGTACTTCCATGTCTTGAAGTCACAGTCAGACCACAAACAGATATACAAAGGCTTTCCGCTTACGAACTCTCGTCTGTAGTATTGCTTCACTTCTCGGATCGGATAAAGACCTCTATATATGTTGTGATTATTACCACTCTTTTGCACTTCCATTGAGTCACTCATCTGATATACAAAGGCTTTCCGCTAATGAACTCTCGTCTGTAGTATTGCTTCACTTCTCGGATCGGATAAAGACCTCTATATATGTTGTGATTATTACCACTCTTTTGCACTTCCATTGAGTCACTCATCGATGTCATCATCACATCCAACACGTCCACCGATGAAGACCACAACACTTGCTTTTCATGTGATTTCAATTGACATAAGTGTTGGACTGATAACTAGTAAACAATTGGTAGAAATCATACACTTATTGTCCAATAAATCAATTCAATGAACAAATGATTAATTAAAACACATTTCACTTGAAATCAAATGACATTTAAGTGAAAAGTTTTATGAATTGAAAAATATTTGAAAATAAATGACATTTTAATCGCATTTCAAATACACATATGTTGTGCACTAATAACTCATTAGTTAGCCATTAATTGGTAAACCAATTGATTTGATCACATGTTATGGTGAATGAGATGTTGATCCAAGAATTGATAGTATTATTGAATAGAGATTTTCAAATCCAAGCAATTTGTTTAGAGATGTTATGAACAGTTAACCAGAAGTGAAGACTATTTACACAAATGTATGTCTTATATGTCGTTGTATTCACTGAACGCTAGCACTGTTTGACTCAAACACCAAACTCTCCAAACTCTCTATGCTATGCCTCTATGCCTGTAGTACTCCCTGTATATCATTATGTAATACACTATATGCCACATATAGTGAACGTAGTGAACACTGCATTCCTCAAACCCGGTTTGGATATGTCTTGAGATGGAAGTCCTTTGGTTGGACTCGTAGTGACAATCACTCCATTTGCAGAACAGCCGCTCTTTGTCTCCCACTTCGCGACACCCGATGTATGTGTTTAAGTCAAACTTGTGGTCCGACTCAACACTACTGTCGCGACCCTCGGAGTCGGTGTCGGTCTTCATGCGGACACTCATTGTCAACGAATTGTCCGAAACCCTGAGTTCGCTGCCATTCAACTCCACGTCCGTCTTCAGCTCCACTTTCACTACAATTTGCACATCAATTGAGTCTCACTCCACACAAACCACTCACTGATCTTCACTTACCATTTGTTGTCATTTGCGACGATATCTGCGACGAGATTGTGGTAAAGGTCTCAGAATTGGGTCATTCACTGATCACTCAATCCATACAATTAGAGTCCAAACGATTATCTAATCATAAAACAACGTTACTATTTATGCAATCTATCGCTCCCTTTATAATCCCTTTGCATTCAATGCTATTATATAACAAACATTTCAATCAAACCCTTCCCGTTATAAATATGTATTCATTTTATGAACCATATCATAGGTAACGATATTAATGAATACTTTAAACATAAATCCCTTCCCTTATTACAAACCCAATGCCTGAGCCCTCAGTTCAGTGACATCCACTCACTCTGAGATAACAGTGTTTGTGATTGGTCCCAAACTCGATAACCTTATCTACCTTTAATCTATAGATAACTAATGCCTCGTATAATATAGTGAACGCAAACTGTACTCAAAAGCAAACCTAAAGCCATAAACGGCTAAAAGTGGTGATAATTGCAGTAAACATTTGTCACGACTTTATATGAATTGCTTAACCAATGAATGAATAGATTATATAACATGTCGTACAGTATTACTCAATACTGTTTTGACAACTAATTTAAAGGTAGGGATCACGTGATGCGTGAACACGGCTTACCGTATGATAGATATTGAATGAGGGGTCAGGCGAGCGGTAATTGCTGTGCGGTATTCATAGTATAGTATAGGAACGGTATTAATATATGGAAATTTAGTGTAGATTCAATATTGAACAGTGTCCAATTACACTGCACTTATCAAGCACATTTGTAGTCAAATATAACGGGAGGGGTGAATGACATGGATATTGCAGTGCATAGTATGCAGAGTACAGTACAGTGTAGTGTATGTGATATACGGCTATATAGAGCAAAGTTTTGACAAATAGACGAGAGTTTGAAACTTACAGTTATATGATATTCAAGCATAAGTTGTATGCCTGTCCTCAATGTGAACCACAATTGAAATTCGCATACATTTTGTAATTAATACAACACTTATGATAGCATTCACCACAAAAAGTACTGCAAATATGTTTGAGAGTATGGTATGGATAGTACAGTATGCCAGGTATATTGAGGTATATTGAGGTGTATTAATAACGTAGTCGACACCCAAATAACAAGCAATAAAATGGGTGTGAGTTGGAGGGAGGGCTATACTAAACAGCAAGTGAGCACTGGTAGGTAATAGGAATAATGTATAGTCAGTCAGGTTTACGGTATTTTGAAAACTTGAAAAACAAGACTATTTCTATTAATTCTTGCCGTAAATTCTTACCCAAAAGATTAATAGAGTTTTTAATTCGTTTAATAATATGAAAACATACTGTATGTTATATTCTAATATATATTAATTTATTCTCATTTAAATTATTTATTATTCATTTTATTATTTAAAATTCATTTTAATATAAATGTATTCATGAATAAACAAACAAAAATAAATATTATTTCTGCCTAATTACGAATTTATTTAATTTTTGATAACATTATCAATATAATATGCAATGGAAATAATATCGATTATCATAAAACCATACTATACTAGCTCATATTATAGTTAATTCCAAAGTTCAATGACCAGATTCTGTACAAAAATAATTGTTAGTTTATAGTATGATTATGGTGGCTTAAATAATGACATTTTAATTATACATTACTATTCTATTAAACTAAAGTTTTTCCTTGATGAAAATTCTATTAGAATATTAAAATTAATTTAATTATCTATTACTTTATAAGCTTCTGATTCACTGTATGGAAACATTGACAATTTGAATTGATAATATGTTTACTTTTAACTAAACTTTTTATATAATTGGTCATTAGAAATGATAAAAATATAACTTAATTAAATTAAATAGTCATTTAAATAAAATGCAATTTTACTATCATTATTTTTGATACTGGTACCCTAATATTGGATATGGAAAACGGGACTATAAATTAATTTTAAGAGTACTTAAAAAATAGAGCTAATGTCATATATACTAAAATAACGTCATAAAAACATAATTCCAATTAAATCCTTGATTACCATATAGAATTAATTTAATTACTCTAATATAATAAACAAAATATTTTCAAATTTAACAGAATTTCAGCAAGGTTATAAGTTATATCTAACTAAATTCTACAACGGTAAATATGTCATTAAATTAAAAATATCAAAAAACAATCGGAACTAAAAGAGTAATTAGTATATTAAAACGTATAAAGTATTATATTATTTAATAAGAGTATTAATAATATCATAACATTTAAAGCATACAAATTCTCAAACATTAAACAACTTATAGACAAACAAGTGGTGAATATAATGAAGAACTTTGTTTTATTGTTTTATTGATTTTAGGCAATGCTTCAACTCATAGTTAGTACTGTATTTTGGTAACAAACCTTTGATTATATTAATCTTTAATATTGTATTTATTATGGGCAAGGTAATCAATGAATTTTAGAAGTAATATTTTCTGGGCAAATATATTCATATTAAAACATAAATATTATTGAACAAGATCACAAACTATGCTCTCAATGTGACTTCACGAAAATGTTCTCGATGTTATTAGTGAAATATTTCAAGATCTCTCTAAATTTCATTCAGATTTATATACCAAATTATATACTGAAATCTGAAATCTGGAGTGTCTATGACGTACAATTACCTAAGACCAGTAAACTTATCACAATTTTGGTAGAGTTGAATATTATAGCTTTAAATATAGTAAACAATTTATACGGTCGTTAAACAGTGGAATTTAGAGAAGCTGTCAAATAAATTTAATAAATTTGCCTTGAGAATATTTTCTTGAATTAACAATATGAAAACCTTGTATAGTTTTTTATTACTTTAGGACATTATCCACTCAATTTTATAAATATGCACTATGAACATGGTCATATATTAGAATATCTGACTCAGAAAACCATGCTCTTAAAAACATTTTTATTTAAAAATTCTTATTAATCATGTTTTAAAAATTTAGTATCCAGGTAGTATTTATTGGTGACAATGATTGTTGTATTTGAATAAATATTCCGTAACTGAACTGACATTAAATGTCATACTGTACTGTATTACTGTATATGAAAGCATTGAAACAAAATGCAAAGCAGTTGTAGTTATAATTTAAAACTTTAATAGATTTGATGTAAAGTATTAGAAAACCTGTTCACTAAAGTATAGTTCAAACTTAATTACTGTTCAACTCTACAATTTGATTACCTCTCTCAGTTTGTACCTAATGTGCCCATTTCATTTTTGCAAGTGTACAGTACATACAGTAACTATATGTTAAGCTCTGAAGCAGACAGTCCCTACCATAGCCGGGTCATCAGTTTTCAAATTGAGATAATTAGAAAACCCATTCTTAAATGCCGTTCTTAATTATCTTTATCAGAACAAAAAGTTCAAAAGTTTTATGGCATTTGGACTGACTGATATGTAATAAGGATAATGGATGGTCACGAGTGACGCTGTTTAGTATAGCCCTCCCTCCAACTCACACCCATTTTATTGCTTGTTATTTGGGTGTCGACTACGTTATTAATACACCTTAATATACCTGGCATACTGTACTATCCATACCATACTATACTCTCTGCACATATTTGCAGTACTTTTTGTGGTGAATGCTATCATAAGTGTTGTATTAATTACAAAATGTATGCGAATTTGAATTGTGGCTCACATTGAGGACAGACATACAACTTATGCTTGAATATCATATAACTGTAAGTTCTATATAAGTGTCAAACTCTCGTCTATTTGTCAAAACTTTGTGATATATAGCCGTATATCACATACACTACACTGTACTCTGCATACTATGCACTGCAATATCCATGTCATTCACCCCTCCCGTTATATTTTACTACAAATGTGCTTGATAAGTGCAGTGTAATTTGACACTGTTCAATATTCAATCTACACTACATTTCCATATATTAATACCGTTCCTATACTACACTATGAATACCGCACAGCAATTACCGCTCGCCTGACCCCTCATTCAATATCTATAATACGGTAAGCCGTGTTCACGCATCACGTGATCCCTACCTTTAAATTAGTTGTCAAAACAGTATTGAGTAATACTGTACGACATGTTATATAATCTATTCATTCATTGGTTAAGCAATTCATATAAAGTCGTGACAAATGTTTACTTCAATTATCACCACTTTTAGCAGTTTATGGCTTTAGGTTTGCTTTTGAGTACAGTTTGCGTTCACTATATTATACGAGGCATTAGTTATCTATAGATTAAAGGTAGATAAGGTTATCGAGTTTGGGACGAATCACAAACACTGTTATCTCAAAGTGAGTCATGTCTTTGAACTGAGGGCTCAGGCATTGGGTTTGTAATAAGGGAAGGGATTTATGTTTAAAGTATTCATTAATATCGTTACCTATGGTATGGTTCATAAAATGAATACATATTTATAAGGGGAAGGGATTATTGAAATGTTTGTTATATAATAGCATTGAATGCAAAGGGATTATAAAGGGAGCGATTGATTGCATGAATAGTAACGTTGTTTTATTATTAGACAATCGTTTGGACTCTAATTGTATGGATTGAGTGATCAGTGAATGACCCAATTCTCAGACCTTTACCACAATCTCGTCGCAGATATCGTCGCAAATGACAACAAATGGTAAGTGAAGATCATCGAGTGGTTTGTGTGGATGTGAGACTCAATTGATGTGCAAATTCTAGTGAAAGTGGAGCTGAAGACAGACGTGGAGTTGAATGGCAGCGAACTCAGGGTTTCGGACAATTCGTTGACAATGAGTGTCCGCACGAAGACCGACACCGACTCCGAGGGTCGCGACAGTAGTGTTGAGTCCGACCACAAGTTTGACTTAAACACATACATCGGGTGTCGCGAAGTGGGAGACAAAGAGCGGCTGTTCTGCAAATGGAGTGATTGTCACTACGAGTCCAACCAAAGGACTTCCATCTCAAGACATATCCTCAACAGACATCTTAAGGGCAAAGATATGATTGAGTCATACGATGAGAGCAACTATTGGGAGAAGATATTGAACTCAAACAAGAGTTGGCTGAAGAGATCGCACTCAAAGAGATCGTCGCATAAGAAGTCGGTTGAGACTCGAGAACCTGATCCAACACTTCCTGAGCCACCACTTCCTGAGCCACCGGTTTTGACACCATTTGATTCGGAGCTAACGTCTCATGAATTGAATGAAGCCTTTCTCGATGACAATCAATGGCTCGAAAAGATCACATCAATGGCCTTACCGTCGATTATTGCACAGAAGAGTGGCTATAGTTTGGATAATAGCGAACTCAATGACAATGACAGCAACGATGACAGCGATGTCCAGAAACAGCACTTAAACATCAGTAACAATGAGGAGAATGTACTGTTGAGTTGCAAAGGATTGGTTAGTATTGGTGTTTGTGGTATGAATTGATTGAATGCTAACTTCATTTCGTGATTATAGGCCTCGATGTCGAAAGTGCGTCAATACTACGAAAGTCAGGTAATGAATGGCGAGAAGTTTTTTCTCTGCAAATGGAAGAGATGTGAGTTTAAGACGAAAAAGAGCCAAAAGATCGCTCAACACATAAACCTATCGCACATTGGGGTTGAATTCAAGTGCAATAAACCGAACTGTAATAAAGTGTTCAAAAACCCAAATACATATCGCGAGCACCAGAAGAACCACATCTGCGGGTTCGGGATCTTTGGCTACGGATCTAAAGGCGTGATTGGCGTCTGTCGTAATGAGAACCTCAATAGATATCGGGAGCGAGTGATCATTGACTCGAAGAAGTTTTATCGCTGCAAATGGGAGAACTGTAATGCAATCACTCGCTATCATATGGCTATGAAAAGGGTATTTGAAGTGAAACTAAACTTATTGTAAACTAAAGTTTTAATTGTAATTCTGATTGTATTTTATGATTGCTATCTCTGTGTGGAAAACCATGTGTTCGCCAAACAGCATTTGCACGGGTATGTTATATTAGTACTACCGTACTGTGTATGGTATGATTCACTTGATTACTAACACCATTTGCTCCCTTTCCAGTCACGTGTGTCCCTATAGAGTGAATCTGAAGCTAAAACAGAATCAACAGGTGATAAGTGACATGAAGTCCGACAACTGGAACCTCGATCTGGGAATGGGTTCCATTGCATCGACTTCTGGAGCAGTGATGGCGGGCAGTAGTCCTGAGCAGAGCTCAGACTGCAGTACGAGTGCAACTAAGAAGACATATCAGTGCCGACGTATCAAATGTGGGGCTAATTTTGATAGCCATTCAGATCTGGTTCAACACGAAAGCCTTTTTTGTAATTTTACTAAATATGGGAAACAAATGGCGAGTTATGAAGACTTAATGGCAAAGAGACACAAACCCAATGAACAAATAGACGCGAATCCATCGGATCCACAAACAAACGGCAATTATTCCGCAAACTCTTCGATTGCAAACTTAGAAATGATGGCAAATGTAGACAAATATATCTCTAAGAAAGTAATGAATGGCATCTCTTATAATCTGTGCGTTTATGGGAACTGTAAATACACTTCAAAGCAATTACACAAAACTGTTGATCACATTCAGACCCAACACTTTGGATTCGGACAACAACTTAATAGTGAGTCAAATGGCACTCAAAACACATCTCAAAGAGTGGACTCTTTGACTGAATCTCCAGAGACTGAGTGTTCGAAAGAGAATTCGAGCAAAAAGTCTAAAACCATAGAAGTAATCGTCAATAATGTGAACCCGTCTTCAGTGGTGATGAGTAGTAGAAGTGCTCCGACTATGAGTGCAATGACTGCGAGAGCCGAACAAAAGTACGCAAAACATACGGTTAACGGACAGACACTTCTCTTCTGCACTCACGATGGCTGCGAATTCTTCACGAAATTGTTGACTCAAATGGAAATGCATGCGAACGAAGCGCACAACCAGTTGTTTGTGTGCGATATCGCCAATTGTGGCAAACAGTTCCGGACATCGATTGCGTTGAGTCAACACAAACTGAATCATATCTGCGGCTTCAATATCAAGGGTCGCAGACCTACCGGTGTCTGCGATTTGGATAACATTCGGAAATACAGAGACGAAGTGATTGTCGACAACCGACTGGTGTATCCGTGCAGATGGTGTCCAGACGTGATCTTCGAGAACCGGTCCGTAGCTCTGGCACACGCCCACAACAAACACCTGTGCCCTAACAGACTGGTTGTCGGACAACAGAGCAGTACTTTAAGTCGAAACGTTGTGCAAAGGATTGTCGAAACAAACAAACGGAAAAGCAATCAAATCTCTGTTTCAAACGACAGTTCACTTTAACTGTAAACTGGATTATGAAGTGTTTTTATATTTTACAATATTTGCTAAAATCATCTCTAAACTGCAATTTAATACCTTTTAATATAACCTAAATGTTTGTCTAATCCATGAAATCTGAGCAAAATTATTCTTAAACTGAAATCTTCCTCAAACTTATTCAGAAGCCTTCTATGATTTTGTGAGAATTAAAGCAAATTAACCACAAAATCATAAATATGTCACTTAATACTCATTTTCTATTGAATACTATAAATGATGGTGTTTTGGAACCAATATTTTTTAAAACACTGAAATATTACAATAACATGTAACTTATTAATGGATATCTTATCATTTATCTTGTTTTAGCAAATTCTGTTCATTAGTATTGGAAAAATAATTTATTTTCTGTAATATTATTTATTATCATTTGAATTATTTATTATTCATTTTATTATTTAAATCCATAGTAACTTAACTGTATTTATAAATACTATTATTAGATGTTTGAATAAAACTTATCACACTTTGACATTAACTTATGATTTGTATTAATAGTAATATATTACCGGTATAAGTTTTTGTGAATAAATTCTAAAATTGTACTGGATCAATATTTATTAACAAATAAAGGTTTATATTTATAAAGAATATTCAAATTGGTATATTTGATTACTTATGTAAAATTCTTATAGATATTTAAAGTGAAAATTAAAAAAAACTACAATGGTGTTTATTTGCTTATTAATATTGTATAATATCATTGGGGTTTGAGTATAGTGTACAGTGTATAGTATTATTAATAGTGTACTGTATGTGATGTGAATTTTATAACAAATATAGAATCACCTATCATATAATGTGGATTTGCAAGTTTCCATAATACAGTACATGAATTGTTTATTATAATATATAGGTAGGAATATTTATAGATATGAGTCGACAATATGCTATACTTTGCTCCTACCAGTGCTCATTTGCCTCCGCTATATATCCCAATCCCACACCCATTTTATATCTGGTTGTTTGGGTGTCGACCTCTCCCTCTATTCCTATGTTCTGTGAACACAACTATTGCATGGATTCAACTATTTTTAACTTTTAAAACACAACTCATATTTTGATAACAAATTAATTAATACATCAAAAGTGATGCATTAGACGAGAGCACAGGGAGGAACGGGAGGAAACTCTAGGAATAAAAACATTGTGTCGTGAAAGTGAGTGCAAAGAAATGGGAAAAAGTGGGAAAAAATGAGAAAAAATTAGAAGAATTGTGTGAAAGGAAAGCAATTGAATGACAATCCCTTACACTGTATATCATGTAATGTATTATGAAATTAGGATTAAATGAATAAACGATTAATTTCTTTGTGTTTTTCACTCAACTTCTCATATATTCATGTCTTGTGTCACATTTGGGTGAAGTTCTTGTATTCACTTGATTTGTGGTTTTAGTTGCCATTGAATGACAGACAATGAGTGAGAATTGGGAACAAATGTATGGAAAAGACATTTCCAGAGAAGTATTTGTTTGTAAACACAATGAATGCAAATACGAGTCCATCGATGAAAATGAGGTTCAGATTCACTGCAGACATCACTCACATCCAGACACTCCTCAAGACATCAAAACCGGTATTTAATTTCACTTTCGTCTCAATATTTGCCAAATAAGTGAGTTTTTGGTAACCGTTTGACAACATCGTGACAGAATCGGGAAGCACTGGAAGTGAGGATCAAATGGTTGACAACTCGTCGGTGGTGGTGAAGAAGACCGGCAAATATGTCTGTGAAGTGATTGGATGTCACAAACAGTTCTCTTATCTGAAATGCTTTGAAAGCCATAAACGTAACGAACACTCGACTCAAGGCACGAAGAATATGACACCAAATAAAGACCAGAATCTGAAGAATAACGATAATATGTGGGAACTGTATGTCGAGTGCCGGCCAATCGATGGCACCGACAGACTGTTCTGCAAATGGCCGGACTGTCACTTCGGGTCCAATCTTCGCGTTGTCCTCAAACAACACGTTATTAACAGTCATTTGACACAAAAGCGGATCAGAAGTCGACCCAAAATTCACAACGAATATGAATATTGGGATAAAATTCTGTTCGACCGGAAAGGCGTCAGATTCTCGGATGAACCTAAAGCTCCAGTTCCCACAAAAGTGGTCAACACTTCTCTATCCTCGAAAACTGTGGCTAAACCTGCGGTCCTCACAAAGTCTTCGTCTGTCACTTGTGTTCCCAAACTTCCAAAACTGAAAGCCGTGTCACCACTTAAGTCACCACTTAAGCCACTGTTCACTATTAAACCCCTTCCCAACTCCAAGAGTGTGTCTATTGTTAAACCCATTTCCCCTCCAAAACCACTTACTATTCCTAAACTGAAACTACAAATCAAACCGAAACCGAAGATTGAAAGCAAGGTTTTGGAGACAAATCACATAAATATTGACAAAAACAAAAGGGATGTACTGTTGAGCTGTAAAGGACTGGCGAGTATGACACGAGTGGCTCAGTATTTCCATAAGAGGATCATCAATGGAGAGAAGATCTATTGGTGTCAATGGAATGGATGTTCATTTAAGACCAAAAAGAGTCAGAAGATTGCGGAACACATAAACCTATCGCACATTGGAGTGGACTTCAAGTGCAATAAACCGAACTGTAATAAAGTGTTCAAAAATCCCCACTCATATCGCGAGCACCAGAAGAACCACATCTGCGGCTTCGGCAGCTTTGGCTACGGGTCTAAAGGCGTGATCGGCGTCTGTCGTAATGAAAACCTCTTCAAATACAGGGAAAGGGTTATCATTAAAGGCAAAAAGTACTACAGATGTAAGTGCTGTTACGCTATCACTAAATATTTCACGGGAATGAAAAGGTAATAAATTTGTCGATTCATTGATTCATTGAATAATTTATTTCTTTATTCAATTTATTATTTGGTTCACACAAAAGGCATATTCATTCTCAGGTATGGTTTACTTAAGTCTCTTTGGACAGTATTATGAGTTTTATGTTTTCCATAATCAGCACATCTGTCCGTTTCGTATGAATCTTCATCTGACACGACATCAGACACCGATGGCTATCAAACAGGAAATCATGGAATTGGACATTGTTTTGGACAGTATTATGAGTTTTATGTTTTCCATAATCAGCACATCTGTCCGTTTCGTATGAATCTTCATCTGACACGACATCAGACACCGATGGCTATCAAACAGGAAATCATGGAATTGGACATTGATTTCGATTTATTCAATAATCAGAGGTTTATCTGTTGTCTTAAATGTAACGAATTCTTTGAATCAAAGGAAGAGTTGAGAAAACATGAGATAATGTTGTGTCGGTTCAGGAATGAAGTGATTAATGAGAATCTGACGAATGAAATGCCAAATGAATTAAGTTTTGCAAATGTTTGCCAAACTAACGAAGATTTCAAACCTATGCCTCAAAAGAATAGACTCAAACTAAGTGAACAAATCAGACAAAACGTGAACGCAATCAACGAAAGTATTGCTAAAAATCTGTCACTTAATAACCAAATGGTTCGATACAACGATCAGAATCAGGAATCACTCGAAGACTATATTTATCTCAAAGAATTTGAAAACACTGTTTACTATAAGTGTAAATATGACGAGGACTGCAGATTCTCCACTAAACTTAAGGACAAAATAAATGAACACATTTTGGACAAACATTTGCAAAATGGGTTCTCCAATGGGGGTCAGTATCCCAACGATTGTTTCGATAATTCGGAACAAAGCTCTATATTTGAGCCCAAGATTAAAGTCGAACCAATCGATTACGACGACAACGAAGGCATGCTTTCAATGGATATAAAGCCTTCGACTTCTGGCCTACAAAGTGGTCAAAACAACTCTAGTATTGAGAAATATATTGAGATTAAGTGCATAGACGGCGATCCAAACTATTTCTGTGTTTATAATACACTTAAATGCAAGTATTATACGAAAGAGTACAGTGATATTAAGTCTCATATTAAAGAATCGCATGTTTTATATGAATGCGATGTCGAGAACTGTGGCAAAGAGTTCAAGAATCCGATGGCTTTAACCGCTCACAAAGCTAACCATATCTGCGGTTTCGGTATTAAAGGCCGCAAATCAAGTGGTGTCTGTAGTTTAGATAACATTAAGAAGTATTGCGACGAAAAGGTGATAAACAATCGATTAGTATTTGCCTGCAAATGGTTGAACTGTCGGTTTGTGTCGAAAACCCGTAACAATGTTCTCAGTCATAGCCACCACAAACACATTTGTCCCAATCGTATGCTGGCTAATGGCAATCAAAATAAGCCAACACCGGTAGTTAATAACAGTAAACCCAAAACATTGATTATTAGAACCGCTTCTCCATCTGTGCGCCTGTCGATCGATGACTCTGTATATGACAGCAGTTCATCGCAGGGCTCTGGGAGACAGGAAGGGTTGGAAGTGTTGGGAACATTCGGAACTCAAGAAAGTTTAGACAATTTTGTCAAATATAGCGAAGAAGTGATGATTGAAAACAAGACTGTTTTTGTCTGTCTGTATCCCAAATGTTCGGTCACTCCGAGGAATCGCTCGTATTCTCCACTAATTACTGATAAATACAACTCTTATGTCACAGACTTTAAAGTATTTTATTGATTATTGATTCATTTAATCACAATTAAAGTTAATTTTTGTATTTTCATTTCATAGCATAACATGATTCGACACATTCGACGGCATTGTAAGTGCTTTCCGTTGAATTTCATTCAAATTAAATAACAGTTTGAAATGACTTTCAGGTAATGATAAGCCGTTTGTTTGCGGAGTAAATGGATGTGAAAAGAGGTTTAGCTGTTCGTCTCAATACAAGAACCATCAGTCGAGTCACTCGAATGTGTTTAGAGGACAGTAATTACCAATCGATTGCTTTTTCTTTGAAATTATTTATTTCCTGTCAACCAATCATTCATTTCTTAAGTATTTGTTTGTCTTTTATTTAAGTTATTATATAATTTTAGGTTTAATCCATAGATAAAAGACTTGTATTACTGTAACACTGGTTTTTAACTTATTTAGTGATAACTGAGATTTAAATATATGACAACTATTAATAGTTCCTTTAATTTATTCATTAATCCCATAATTTCAGTATTCGTTTAAAAGTTGTCACCTGATTATTTTGTGCTCTAATTATTGTATCATTCAATTAAGACTATAATTATTTTGATTCCAATTACAAATTAATATAATGTAAATCTAGTATCAAATAAATTTCATTTTTCAACAATTATTGTTTTAAATTTTTTAAACTTGAAACTTAGAAGTGAACTTGAGCCAATCCATGTGTAGATTGTGTTGCCAATCGATTTTGCTATCATATAAAATACATCATGTATTATATTTCACTCTCAATATTCATACCCAATGTTTTAGTTCACTTGAAATTCCTTTCAGTGTTTTCCAGCAGTTTATAACGTTAAGTGGCTTTCCATGGGATACTACCGTACAGTACATGGCTTTCAATGGGATAACAGAAATAACAGTACAATGTCCGGTGCAGTAGACTATTGACTTTATGGGAAGGGCTATCATTGTTGTACAAAGAAGTGTTGCATTATTTATTATATAAGTTATTCATCTGTTGGTAAGAACAAGGATTCAAAGATCTAGCCGTATGTATAGAAAAAATTAACTTATCTCTAAATATAGTCTAAACATCTATTGTTTTTAGCAAAAGTTCCCAATAAAGTCAATGTATTAGTTTTTTGGGACATTTATCTGTTTTAGTAAACCGATAATATTTAGAACTTTTTTTATTGAACTTTTAAAGTTCTCTAATCAAGAAAATGTCTAAAAAATTAAATAACCTTTTATAAAAATGCACAACTTTTATATTGAATGCAATTAAATTGAATACAGAATATTGAATACTTAAATTGAATACTATTGTGGACATACAGTAACTCAAGAATGAGAATAATGTATTCATATTTAATTAAGTTTTTCAAAGTCCAGCAATACATGAATGAAAGTTTAATAAATAATCTACAATTCAGACTCAATCTCAGCTAAATTGTTGATCTTTTTTGATAGTTGAGTCAAAGAGTTATTATAATAAGATTACAACAAATTCACAACTTTATCAAATAAATTATGAATTATTGCCACCTAATCATAAATTCAAACGTTTATTAAATGTACAAATTTCATTATCAAAACTAAATCATTTAATACGATAAATACTAGTTTTCAGATGATTTACTAGGATTAATCATTTAAATCCACAAACTGTGATAATCTTGGATTAACTGTGGAATTGACATGTACTGTATATTGCGAGTCTATTGCTTATATCATAAGAGATACAGTACATTGTATTATTAATATTTCTAATTTATAATATTAGGATCAATATAATATATTAACATTATATATATTTGCTACATTTTTACCATTTTTTACATTTGATTAATTATCAAAAACTTAATCGATTTGATAACTTATTATAAGTGAGTACTGTATAAGTTAATTAAGGTTTTGTTTCAATAACTTATTTGATTTATCAGTGAAAAGGTAGCAAAAAATAATAGATTAGCCCAACGTTTTCGATCTACACTGAGATCTTCATCAGGGCTTAAGAGATGGTAATAGATATTGAGTTTGTGTTCAATAATGACTGCATTTAAATGAGATGTTAGTATAAGTTAGTATTAATATAGTGTTTGTTTGTAAGTGCAAAGTGAGACCTGGGACCTGGGACCCTTGATTTTCAATGTACAGTATTTTGATAATTAAAATTCTGTAACCCAGGACCTGGACCTGGGTTACAGAATTTTAATCATCAAAATACTGTACATTGAAAATCATTGCAAATGTTTGTATATTAGTGAACGACCCCTCACTGAACCACTGATTACCTCACGTTTTGAGCAAATATTTCAAATATTTCTTCAAATCATTGATTGGTTTCGAAAACTAATGACACGATTGACGACAGTATTGCTCGCAATCAAGACGTGCGGATCAGTTGAGTGATGAACAGTATGGCTGACTGTGAGGGTGACGGACAAGACAATCAGTTCTACGAGACTGTCATTCTGGACACTGGAGTGTGGTATGCCTGCGGACACGATGACTGCGACCACATCCAGAAGAATGAGCTGCAAATGATTGAGCACTTGAGACAACACTTCTCGGCACTCGATGGCCACCACTCCGATGACGGTATTATCACATGTCTTACTTTCGCTGGACATTCACTCCAATAATAATGTATTTATTTATATCTCGTGTTAGATGTTGGATCAGTTGATGGCATCAATGAATCCAATGAATCGAAAGATTCCAAAATTATGATTAATTTGTCCGAAGAGTCCAATCATTTAAATGACAGTTCAGGCGATGAAGAGACCACTCATGAGCAACAAATGGATCAATTGAACGCCAATTTAGACAATGATTGGGAGGTTTGGATTGAATTGAGAGAATTGAATGGAAGGGATAGACTGTACTGTCAGTGGACTGACTGTCGGTTCAACACAAACCTCAGAGTTGCCGCGAGAAGACATGTCTTCAACCATTTGAATGGAGTGTCGGTTCACACGACCTCTCCTAAGAAGATCACAGAAACTGATTTCTGGAATCAGATCTTCAATGACGTCAACCATAACGACAAGTCTTCTGAGACGAAGAAAATAAAGACACCGACGAAGACACCAACGATGACACCGCGGAAGCAAAGCTGCGGTCAATCGAAATCCAAAGCTAGAAGTGGTGAAGAGGTAAATAAAAAGCGGAAGAATGGATCCAAAACGAAGAATCTCAGGTCCAGTGATAAATGTGTGGCGAAGAAAGGCATTGAATCGCATGCGAGTGATCTGATTGACATCAAAGTGAAGAGCGGAGGCTTTCTTAGCGCCAAAGGGATGGCCAGCGCTTCCAAACTGAAGGCTCACATCAATAGGGAAGTGATAGATGGCGTCAAATGGTATTTCTGTGACTACAACAAGACGTGCGGATTCAGGTGTCGGCGCTCTCAGCAAATAGCGGCGCACATCCACTGCAGTCACATCGGGATGTACCTGAGGTGCCATCAGACCAATTGCGGCAAAATATTTCGGACTCCAAACTCATGGCGCGAACACCAGAAGAACCATATCTGCAATTTCGGGATTTTCGGGTATCAGAAGGGAGTGACCGGTGTTTGTCGTAACGAAAACCTCATCAAATATAAGCAAATGGTTGTAATGCCCGATAACACGAAGGCCTACCGATGCACTTGGAAAGGCTGTTCATTCGTTACCGCCGGCTACCGAATAAAGGTATTGTAGTTTTACACATGTTTTGCTTATTAATGAGACGTTAATTTTGATTGATGTCTGGTTTAGCGACACATTCACAACCAACACGTCTGTCCGTATCGTAATTCTGGTGAATGGAAGAAGAAGTTTAACGAATCGTTGGAATACACCCAACAATTGGATGACATTCCTGTCGATACGATGGTTGACATCAAACACGAGATATTGTTTTGCCGAAGAAAGGGCTGTACCTCGAAGTTCGCCAATGAGTCGGACCGTAGAAGGCATGAGCACTCGTATTGTGGATTCAGAAACGAAAACAACAATACTCTTAAGAACCACACGAAACACAAATCCAAATCAAAACAAGTATTGAATCTTAAGTCCAGAGTTCGTGATCTGAAAGTTGTGAACAACAAGAATCTCAAGCATAAGAAGCCAATGAATGGAAAGGCAGTCAATGCAGACGTTGACAAAAAGGAAAAGTCATTGAGTCGTCTTAAAAGCCAACCCATTATACCTCAAAAGAGTTCTTTGAATGACACAAACAAATCATTTTCAAAGACATGTGAATCCAAACGCAGGAGTTATCAAAACGAGAGCTCAAAGAAACTGATTTGTTCTTCAAATGGTTGTGAATCCGATGATAACCACGAAAAGAATCTCAACATTGAAAAGAAGTCTTTTTGTGAATTGAACACAAAGACCACAAATACTCAGACCATTGGATCCAATGATAAAAGCAAATTAATCTCAACACGTAAAGATAGAGCTGAAGAAAGAGTAGATCACAAGAAGACGTGTGGATCACAAGAATCGAAAGAACTGAGTCCTAAACGTGCGGACAACAAAACAGTTGGCATTGAAAATAAGGCAACTGTTAGTACAAACACATTGGGAATTGACCCCAAATGCCAGCAATTCATTGAATCGAAAGATTTCGAAGGTTTAAAAGTTTTAAATATAATTATAAAGAATATTTGATTAAATGTATGAATGGTATGCTCTAGGCGTCGGTTATTTGATCTGCAAGTATTCGCGTGACTGCAAGTATGTCACAAAAGTGGTCGAAAAAATCAATGAACACGTCTTAAGACTTCATTTGGGAAGTCGTCCAATGAATACAATCCTGACGTCCACTCCTAAGCAGCAAACAGTTGCTAAGAAAAGGTCTTACAGTTCGCTCGAAACTAATGACTTTAAAGAGACAAAAGCCAAGAAACTGAAGACTGAACCGAAAGATGAGTCCAAAGACACCAAAGAAGTGATACCAAAGACGATTGGAACGAACGAATGGGACCAATACGTGGACCAGAAGACCGTCGAATCGAAACTCAACTATTTCTGCAAATATGATAAGAGTTTGTGTCGATTCTATTCCGAAGATCTCTCAGAAATCTATGACCACATCCACGACCGACACATTCACTTCAAATGCGATGTCAAGAATTGCAGCCAAAAGTTCAAGAATCAGAATCTGCTGGACGTCCACAAACGCAACCATATCTGCGGCTTTGGTATAAAGGGAATGAAAGCGACGGGCGTTTGCTCTCTGGAAAACATCCGCAAACATAGGGGCGAGAGAATGGAGAACTATGAGATGGTGTACCCGTGCATGTGGTTGGGCTGTTCGTATGTCCACTCCGATAAGACCACAACACTTATGCATATCCACAACAGACACGTTTGCATCAACAGACCCACCGATGTTTCTCTCAAGTGTTAGACTCGAGTCTATTATTATATTATTATTATTATTATTAATATTATTATTATTTCATAATTCAATTTAATTATTCATATTTATAATATTTAGTAATTATTATTTCATTTAGTCTGTAAATTTGATTGTATGCTATCCTATAATATTCTCAATCTATTCTATATATTGATTTGTATTAAAATTTTCGGAAAAACATTTTGCGTTTATTTATCAAAATCTGAGTTGTGATCAGAAAAAGGGTCGGAAACCCATACAATGCGGTCATTGATTGGCCGCTGGTCTCTCCTATTATGCGTCATATGTCTGACAAATCCATGGATCGGTTCAGTACTTATGGCACGAAATTGTGAAATCTGTTGACAAGAGAAATGATTAGCGGTTATTGTGTGACAAATAACTGGAATACAGGGGTACCTGACTTGAGGTGATATAAATGGGATCAACAAATACGATGAATTCTGCGCTTTCAGAGCAGGGGGGAGTCGTGAGAGAACCCATGTATTTGTAAAACAAGTCCTTATCTTTGGGCAATAAATCCCTCAAATGTATGGGCACTTTGAGGTGAACGTTTGAACCGAATTCATGAATGTGTGGCAAAACATCGATTATAGCTCTCATTACGGGGTTGTGTGACTTGACGTGAATAACACCGAAATCTGCTATGATTTTGCTCTCAACGAAGACAGTGACCACAACCAACCCGTCCTCCTTTTCAATAGCGTTTGTCATGTTGTCATAAATTGAGTTCCAATGCACTAAATGAAGCTTAAGATACAATAAACTATACTAATAAAGGTATCAAGTTGATACATATCTACACAATGCATGGTAATATCATATTATGATACCTCAGCAGATCTGAAGACATTATTGACCGAATGTTCTGAACCTTTAAATTCATCGAAACCCCAATGAAAGTGAAATGAATCCAAAATATATACGTTATTATTAACCGCTTCTCCAGAAATATACGGCATTTCCTCGTTCTTGGGGTTCGGCCGCAGAAATACACGAACTATACGTTCATTCGGTTTATTGTCATATGATTGATGTTTTTGTACGAAAATATAGTTTACATACCGGTGTGGCCGTTGTTTTGAGCCGTACTCCTATGGAAACCGATATCATAATTATGAAAAGTAATCTTCAGATTGGAATCGATTTGAACTTTAGTTGTGTCGATATTAATCGGTGATCCGTGTCTACCATTGCATGCCGCGAAGTGAAGATCCCATTCCTTCTGATCTATTTATTTGAATAAATTTGCTTAATATTTGAGCAAGCAAATTTTGTATCCATTTAATAAAATGATTAAATACTGTCATAATTCCATTCATCGGAAGTTACATTCGGGTTACAATCCAAACAAGTAATTGAATCCAAGAAAAGGGAATTCATTAATAAAACACAAATACTTTTAAAAAACATTTTCACTTTAGAAAAAGAGCTTTCTCATTTATGAAATCAAGCCAAATGTGTATAAAATAACTTGTGTTGATTTTATTTTAAAACTTATTTCAACTTTTACTTAATTTCCAGTTAAATGCATACAGTAAATCAATGTTTAGTCAGACCAACCAATGTGATCAATGATCATTATGATAACATCTGTTTATTGACGTATTAATACACAAATTGTCAAATTCTTAATCACGAAGATTCACGAATGACCAGGACATAAATTTTAGTGGAGTTTATGGTTTTTATATTATAAAATATTCAGTGCAAACTTTACAGCAATTAAACAGGAAAATTAAGATCATACCAGTTACCTTTATAATCGGTTGAAAATCCTTAAACACTAGTTATAAATACAATTCTTTTAGATTAAAAGTTTTAGTAATAAAGCAAACACTGTATAGAAAGTCGAAAGATTAATGAATTTATTATAATTCAATAGAAAAAAGCTTTTGATCCCTTGATAAAAGTAATTATTATTTAGAAAAGCAGGTGTTTTAATAAAAACAAACTCAATCTTATATTTCAAATAAAACATCAAAATATTTCACAATTATTTACATTTTATCAATTATTATTAATAAATAAAATTTTATTATTAAAATATTTAAACTAAAAAAATTAAGAATTGTATTTAAAATTTATAATGAAGTCATAGTATTGAATATGTACTTATAGTATATTATACTGTAGTATACTTGAACTTGATTAATTATAATACAGTATAAGTATTTTGCAAAATATTTTCAAATTAATTTAATTTTAATTATAGTTTATATTAACTTATTATATAAGCATAAGGCCATATTATAATTTATGAAAATATGGTAAAATCCTTCAAATAAGACATTAATGTATTTTCGGAATTTTATTGTTAATTTTAATGAATTATTAAATTTTAAAAATTAAATCATTAAACATAAAGATTTACACGTCTATAGTACAGACTCTGTACAATAATATAAAGAATCTTGGTTATATTCATACTTACTGTATACTGTAATTCCAACTGTAATTGTAACTTGAAATTAATTTAATATATTCAGCATTTTATTATTAATTGAAAACAATGATTTAACTTGAAATTTTTATTTTTGTATTAATAGTATCAATAATGCTATTTATAATAACAACAAAATATTAAATTTTATAAAAAAAATAAATGAATTATAAGTAAAAGTAAAGCAAAATGTGAACAGAATCTAAAGAACTGATGGATTATCACAATTCATTGCATTTGTTTGCAATTTAGCCGCAAATTGATTCTCAATGTGTTTGAGATGATCGCTGCAAATGTTTTCGCATTTCTTTCTCAGACTTTGCGTCAAATGAATGGAAATGTGTTGAGAGATGTGTTCAACGATTCCATCGATTGTGTCTGAAGTGAACTCCGAATCAAACCATTTGAACAAAAACTGATCGCTTGACTCAATCGTCGAAATTCTGTTGATTTCAACAAACGATTCAATGATTTCCACACATTTACCGAACAAATCAGTAGTCATTTGTTTGGACGGAAAGCAATTGGCATTCATAGGCATCAGAGGTTTACTCTCAACGCAAGGCTTTTCAGGTGAAGTCTTTGGTTCAGCGGTTCCCACAGATGTCTGCGGAATCGAGTCATGAGTTTGCGGTCCTCTGCAAGAAGTCAACACATATTTGATGACTTCTTCAAAGCCAAAGTTGGCTGACTTTGAGCTCAAGTTTGACACCATTTCGCTCTTCAAGTGGTTCTTTCTTATGGACGACGTCTTCACCACAAGAATTGGCTTAGATTTCAAGGCATTGGTCTTGAGATTGGGTTTAGCTTTGGGCTGAATGTCCAGTGACTGTGAGACGCGTTTGGGGTGAGCTATGAGTGGAACAGGTGGTGGTGCGGACCCATTGGCGGTGATGTTGTGTTTGTCTTTCTTATGTTTGTTGAGAAGCCATTGGACGACAAACTCTTTGCGACAGTCGTTCTCGACGTCGCAAACGAAGAGTCCGTTGGGTTTGGAGTGTCTCTTGAGGTGAAGAGAGAGTGCCTTTCGGTTCGTATAACTCTTCCCACAATCACTTTCAGTGCATTTAAATCTTCGCACAAATCAAGACAACAAACACTCAAATGACAACTCATTGGCCGATACTCTACTCGAAGACAACTTACGGCTTGTCCTCCAAGTGGCGGATCAAATGGACTCTGAGTTCGCACTTTTGGTAAAAGCATTGATTGCAGTCTTGGAGCCAACATTTGTACGGCTTTTGATTGATGTCTGAAATGAGAGATAATCCATGGATTAAGTGATGTCCACGAGATGTACGCTTAGATCTTACGTCTGCGGACATGTCGGACAGCAATGGAGCTCTTGTTGGTGCTGAAGGTGCAGATGCCTTGAGTGCATCGGTAATTCTGTCGACCATTTTGTCTGAATTTGTCGTCATATTGATTGCAATGAATGAATCTAACAGTGATTCCAGACATAAGACATACCTGTCTTTGACAAAGTATTCCGAGTAATGGTCCACACAATCGGTGTTACCATACGTTTGATCCAATTCTTTGTCAATCATTTTGATGAATTCCGGCAGAAATGACTTGTCTTTGATTTGAGTGACAATTGAGTTCATTGTCGATGTGTTCACTGGTATTCCTCCGGGTCTGAGATCACATGAAATGCTTTGTCAACAAAACAACCAATTCTTTGCACTTTTCAATGACTTTTGGTTTGAATTTACAGTTTAATAGTGAATGAACTCCTCGTGACTTACGCTCATTGGCTGCATCTCACCACTGCTTACGCTATGACTGACCCCTCAATCAACACATTATGTAATGTTCAACATTTGCATCAATCATCCAAATTTGTCATTAAGTGTCAGGTGACCAGGAACAATTTGCTTTTTATTACTGCACTCTTAGTTCATAAGCAGAATGTCACTGAATATTTCAGGTACTTTTAAATTAACTTGTAAGTTTGATTATGCAAATTTTATTAATTGTATTGTAAGATGTACATCATATCGTAAAATTGAAATACGCTATCAAATGAAAAATTAAGATTATTGTTATAGTAAAATCATCAACTAGTAAAATAGTATATTTCATTAACATTTTGATTGTATAATTTAAACATAAAACACAAGAATATTCTGGAAAAGAAAACATTTCAACAGTATTTCTATAAGCTTTTGTATGAATGAATTCTTTACGACTATATTCCTCTTGCAATGCAAACTAATTGATAATAACTAAGTGGTGTTGAGGGCCCACACGTATGGGTTCTTTCAAATGCCAGTTCCCTTCACTTATCAGATCCAATAGTCCGTCCACACTATCCATGTCGTGCAACCATTCATTAGTGTGCACTCTATGCTCGTAGTCCTCCAAAAGAATTTGTCTTAATTTGAGGAAATGTCTGATCCATATCTTCTCTGTTTGTAAAATCATTTTATCGTTTTCTTTGGACTCATTTCGAGGAATAATTGTCTTAAAAGTGTTAACTGTTTTATAGACACCGTGTTGTGATATTGTGTCATAAATAATGCATTTACTTAAGGCTGATCTCAAATTCAAAGTAAACGCTAATCTCATTGCGGGTCTGGAATAGGATTTAATCATTTGTTAATTGATTAAAAATATTTTTTAAAATTTTATTTTTAATGTAAATTTTATTTTACATTATATTTACCGGTAATACAACTCATCGTTGACTCTGTCCTGAATTATTCTGAAGACTGGATCACTTGCACTCGACTTCCAGGCCATAGGAAAGCCCTTCAAATTAAGGACATCACTGCTCTTATTCTCGGCCAGTCTTTTGAGTTGGTCTTGGAATGGGACCAATAGATTGAAAGGTCTGCGAAATGAATATTTTCTGACCACATGATAGACATCACCAGATTTAGTGGTGAAGAGACTCCTTCCGGCTGTGAGTCCATTGCCATCATTGAAATGATCGCAGAATCCATAATTAAATTGTGTTGAATTGAACTTAAAAATGTTGACAAATTGTTCGCATTTTCTCTTTTGATCGTCACTTAAATTGGATTCAATTCTTGAGACAAATATTAAAAGAAAAATCACTTTCAAAGTTAACATTTTCGAAAATGTGATCAAAATGTGCTGTTATTAGTATTGAATCAAATGAATTATACAGAATTGAGTTTCTTTGTAAAACTTTGAGGAAATAAATACTCAATCCTTTCATAAACTCCTAATCTGTTTCACAAATACTTATCTGTTGATGATTTTAATAATAAAAGGATTAGACATCAAATACTATGCAAAAGGATACGAATTAAGATTTGACGCTGACATTAAATCTTTTTTGTCCTGGAAATTTTTTAAAGAATATTAACATCAAACAAAATTGTTTTATTTTTAATATTAGAATTTATTTAATAAAAACACTAAAATGGTAGAAAAAATCTTGAAACAGTATTAAAAAACTCAAAAAGTTAAGTGGTAATTTAAGTGAAACAGTGCTAAATGGCGAACCTCGTTAGGTGTTAGCAAATTGTGCCAAGATTGTGACATGCACACTTTACACATTAATTAGCATTATAAATATAAACGGCAATTCACAAATACTTTGACGGCAATTAACCGTCAGATTTTATGCAAAGTGTGGTTATGTTTACGGAAAATATAAGTCTATAAATTGATATAAAAAATTACTGTATGATTGAATAGCCATCCATATTTATAATGTTATTTAATATGTAAAATGTGCATGTCACCAGTGACTATAATTGGATTGACAGACTAGTTGATGATATTCGCCAAGTTTGATCAATTCAAATGGTAGATACGGTCGTATGGTTTATGTTATTACAGATTAGCCTGGCACAATTTGCTGACACCTAACGAGGTTCCCCATTAAGTTATTTTGGAAATATCTCTCATTATTTAAACCACAAATATTTAGCTTTTAATCCATGATTTATTTATTTTATTTTTTATATTGAAACATTTATGGTATGTTTGATCAAAAATTCAATTTAAGTATTTTCTTAATGGAAAAATTAAAAAATTATGTAACTTATAATATAATTTGTGTACAAATTCTAAGGAATCTAGTTAGATTTATTGATTAAAAAATACTTACAAACACGCAAACTAATAATTATTAATGTTTAGAGCCCATTACTATATAATGTTTACAGGATTTAAATACTGTTTGGAATTATTAAGGAATTTGTATTTGTTAAATTATGTGTATCGACTTTTGACACGAATGCTTGAATAAAATAAATTAGTAAATAAAAAATTCCAATAGTTTTAATGAAACATATAAGTGATTATATTAATATAATAATCGATAATGTCGGTATAGTATAGGCAAAGTTGGCAAAGTTATTATGAATACAGTTCATTCGTTAATTTACAAAATGTTACCAACAATTTTTAAAAATTAATGCTTAATCTTATACATTCAAAAATGTTATCAAAGATTATTATTATTATTTTTATTGTGATAAATACGTTAATAATTGTAAGAAGCGATGAGTGCATTAAATATGATGAGTTTGAATCTGCTTTTAGGTCAGCATTAAAATCCTCTAAATTAGAGGGTCCGGTCAAAAATGATAACAATATGCAAACCGATGGAGGTAAGCACAATTTTAATTACAAATTTTAAGCAAATGTTATTATATTTTTGAATTAAAATATATTTAAAAATTAATTATTAAAGTATTGTATGAGTAAATGTTTGTTACTTTTAGAAGTGAAAGCCTCTGATTTAGAAAACGACCGGGAACAAATCAAACGAATACCCATTTGTAAGTTAATGAATAGATTAATGAATAACTTATTTATAAATTATCCTGTTTAATTTAAGAATTGTTTGTATACTGTACTGTATTATGTTTTTATTGTATTTAGATGGTGGAAAGCCTGTCAATATAAATATGACTTTTTATATCGATGACATTAATTCAATATCTGATGTTGATATGGTATGTCCTCTAATATTTCAGAATATTGTAGTTTTTGAGTTATAAAAGAATAAATGTCCATGTTAATCTTTTGGATTTAACTTACTGACTGGTGAGGGATAATTGTCATAATTGTCATACTGTTTGTCATACAGTGTATGACAATAAATCAATATTCAATTTTCATTTATTTTAATCGTAAAAATATAAATTTAAAACAAAATTACTAGAATAAGTAATACTGAATATTAAAATTTTGATGATTAAATATTTACTAGGGAATTAAATTGATTTTCATTTTCTTGATTATTCTCATGATTTGTATTCTTATTATATATATTTTTAAGTAAAATATACTATTAAAGTATTATTATACTTTTGCGTGTATATTTTCACTAGATATTGTATTTATGAATTTTTTAGAAGAGTTATATTATAAAAATGTTCTCTAAAATTGATAGGATTTTAGGGTTGATTACTATTATCTTCAAGAGTGGATGGCTATGAGTGAAGATTGTGAAAGGTATAAGAAATCAATGACTCATAGAGGCATGAAGTTGGCTAAAGTGAGCCAGCAAAACAAACTGATCGTGGCCAACGAATATTTCGATTTGTTTTGGTTGCCCGACGTTATGATATCTAACTCCAAAGAAGTGAAACAACAGTCAGAACTCGTCCATACAATCCTCCTTCAGATATATTTCGTGGGCGATAATCAAGGTTTGTTGCCATTCAGTAACTATCTGTCAATTGTATTATGAATACTATTAGTTTACGAACTCATACAACAATTTTAAACTAAAAAAATATAATCAAATGTTTAACAAAACACATTTGAGAGCAACTGTTTTGTAAATGAAAATTGTTCAATCAATTGAAATGATTTGTAGAGCACTGTCACATGGAATATAAGGCCCGTTACTATGCGATCGTGTCGTGTCCGATGGACTTTCACGACGCGCCTATAGATCTGCAGACCTGTTCAATCCAAATGAGAAGCTGTGAGTTTGCAATTCATCTCATTATTTATTATAATATTAACAACAATTTGAAAAAATACTTTCCAAAACTTAGTGATAATACAATACAACTGATTTTATATAACTATATTTTTCTTAAAGTTGCGTTCAATATGAAAAAAATTCAATTAAATTGGAAAGAACAAGTTGAGTTTAACCCCGATTTGAGACTTCTGGAGCACGACTACAAGTTATCACAAGAAACTAAGAATACCACTATATTTGATGGTTTGCTTAATTCACAATTATCATGATTACAATGTCTAACAAATATTCTATTCTATGTCTATTTAGAGACTTATTCTATGCTCAAAATCAATCTAAATTTTCAGCGAAAAGTTGCGAATAAGTTGGTCGGAGTCTATACTCCGAGTATTTTAATAGTTTTGATCACATTTTGTTCATTTTGGTTGGGACTCAACACTACGTCCGAGAGGGTGACAATTGGTTAAATTTTCAGCGAAAAGTTGCGAATAAGTTGGTCGGAGTCTATACTCCGAGTATTTTAATAGTTTTGATCACATTTTGTTCATTTTGGTTGGGACTCAACACTACGTCCGAGAGGGTGACAATTGGCATAACGGCGCTTTTAGCTCTGGTCACTCAATTCAATGACGCCCGTCGATCACTTCCCGCCACTTCTTATATAACAGTCGCTTTCTGTTTAGCATTTGTTTGACTCATTAATTAAGTTTATTTTAATTTAATTACCAGGAAATCGATCGCTGGATGATTATGTGTATGGTGTGTGTATCGGCACAAATGGTTCAGTGCACTCTCGTTGACTTCGTATACCACAGACAACAACAGAAAGAAAAAGTGAAGGAAACGACAATAAGTGTAATCAAACACTTTCGCACATTATCTCAACAAAAGCAGAATAATAATAAGAATAATAATAAGAATCTGAGGACAACACTGAGGAGTGATTCCAGTAATTCGGTATAACTTGTGATCGATTTATACAAAATCTAAAATAACTAAAACAAAAATCAATTCAGGAAAATTCAATTGAATACTCAAATGGGAAGGAAATGCATAATAATTTAAGAATATTAAGGAATGCCTTTAAGAAGAGAGAGTTGAGTGAAGAGGAGCCCAAGGATTGCTTTTGGCAGATCAAGCACACACTGTCCAGGTTAATATCAGTGCCCGTCAGTCCTGATAAACCAGAATACCTACCGATGCGAATAGACGCCGCCTCAAGAATATTGTTTCCGCTATTCTTTGGACTCATTTGTCTCATATATTGGCCAACAATGCTGTCCAAAGTCTTTTAATTAAATAAAAAGACTTACCATGCTCTTATTAGGATAACTAGTAATCAATCATTTAATTGATAATTATTATACTGTAATAACGCTTTTATAAATTATCTATTCTTTATTTATCAATACATTAGAGTTATTTTAATAATCCATTAGCCGTTATCTCTATAGTAATTTCCAAGAAAAATACTGATTATATCTTATCTTATTTTCAAAGTAACTTGTTGATATACAGTGTATTTTAAAGAACATTGTTAATTTAAAATAAATAAATAAAATAACTAGTTGATGCTTAAAATGGTTCATTAAAGGGATAGTATTTGTTATTCTTTGCATAATCGACGACATTATATCTCAGATTTTGGTTAAGACTATCAATATCTTTCATATCTTGTTCACTGAGTTGGCATAACGGCGCTTTTAGCTCTGGTCACTCAATTCAATGACGCCCGTCGATCACTTCCCGCCACTTCTTATATAACAGTCGCTTTCTGTTTAGCATTTGTTTGACTCATTAATTAAGTTTATTTTCATTTAATTACCAGGAAATCGATCGCTGGATGATTATGTGTATGGTGTGTGTATCAGCACAAATGGTTCAGTGCACTCTCGTTGACTTCGTATACCACAGACAACAACAGAAAGAAAAAGTGAAGGAAAAGACAATAAGTGTAATCAAACACTTTCGCACATTATCTCAACAAAAGCAGAAGAATAATAATAATAATCTGATTCTGAGGAGTGATTCCAGTAATTCGGTATAACTTGTGATCGATTTATACAAAATCTAAAATAACTAAAACACAAATAAATTCAGGAAAATTCAATTGAATACTCAAATGGGAAGGAAATGCATAATAATTTAAGAATAATAAGGAATGCCTTTAAGAAGAAAGAGTTGAGTGAAGAGGAGCCCAAGGATTGCTTTTGGCAGATCAAGCACACACTGTCCAGGTTAATATCAGTGCCCGTCAGTCCTGATAAACCAGAATACCTACCGATGCGAATAGACGCCGCCTCAAGAATATTGTTTCCGCTATTCTTTGGGCTCATTTGTCTCATATATTGGCCAACAATGCTGTCCAAAGTCTTTTAATTAAATAAAAAGACTTACCATGCTCTTATTAGGATAACTAGTAATCAATCATTTAATTGATAATTATTATACTGCAATAACGCTTTTATAAATTATATATTCTTTATTTATCAATACATTAGAGCTATTTTAATAATCCATTAACCGTTATCTCTATAGTAATTTCCAAGAAAAATACTGATTATATCTTATCTTATTTTCAAAGTAACTTGTTGATATACAGTGTATGTTAAAGAACATTGTTAATTTAAAATAAATAAATTGAATAACTAGTTGATGCTTAAAATGGTTCATTAAAGGGATAGTATTTGTTATTCTTTGCATAATCGACGACATTATATCTCAGATTTTGGTTAAGACTATCAATATCTTTCATATCTTGTTCACTGAGTGTAAGATTAAAAATATGAAAATTTTCTTCGATATACTTCCTGCTCGTGGCCTTCGGTATGACTACAATACCCCTCTGAGCCTCGTATCTGATGAGCACCTGAGCCGCACTGACGCCGTGTTTCTCAGCGATGTCCAACACCTTTGTCTCATTCAATAGCCTTCCGGTTCCTAAAGGACTATAAGCCGTCAAAACAATCTTTCGTTGGCTACAGAAATCCAATAATCGTTTTTGATTGAGATATGGATGACATTCCACTTGATTGACAACCGGCAACACTCTGGCCATCCCTAGGATGCGATCGATTTGCTTGGAGTTGAAGTTCGAGAGACCAATGGATTTGGCGAATCCCTTGTCGTACACGTCTTCCATGCCTTTCCACGTCTCGATGTAATCGACATCAGAGAACAGAACCCTTCCCTTCTCGTCGACAGGCGTCGTCTCGTTTGTGCCCTCTTTCAGACCAAATGGGAAGTGAATGAGGTATAGATCCAAGTAATCGAGGCCTAAGTTGTCCAAAGACTTGTGCATCGCTTCCATGACCAGTGGTCTGCTGTGGAAAGTGTGCCACAGTTTGCTCACAACAAACACGTCCTCGCGTTTGATCCTTCCTTCGCTGAACACTTGCTTCAGAGCTCTTCCGATGTCTTTCTCGTTGTCATACAAATATGCGGTGTCTATATGTCTGTAGCCCACAGACAACGCGTTTATCACCGACGAGTAGATCACATCCCCCGTGGCCTGATAGGTCCCCAAACCTATTATAGGCATCTGTTTGCCATTATTTAAAGTGATTGTCTTCGGCAGACACTCACTCATTGCAATCGCCAAACATATCACCAATACTTTTGCTATCATTTTCTCAACCATTTGTCTCAATCATAACTTTCTCTCAATTTATACCTATTTATGATTTATGTATCATATTCTTAAGTATCTTGTGTTTCATAACCATATGAATGAATGATAGTTAAAGTACTTCTGATTAGATGTGAAACCACTTCTGACTTGTGAGCTTAACATATGTGCACCTAATGCTAGAATATGCTTACATTTATCAATCTATAGTATAGATTCTATACTCATTTTCAATTTAATACCAATTATCTAACGAACTTAATTAGAAAATGTGTTTTATAAAAAGTAATGTATAATAGATGTGTTTGATACAGTACCTTGCTAAACTATAGTACTGTACTGGCATATCAAATATTCAATTACATGTGATTCACAAATGATTGGTTGCAAGAGTTGAACGTAAGATAAAAAGCAGTTAACAAATAAGCTTACGATCACAATCTCAATCAACTTTATGCAATACAGCACTGAATGAATGGGCAAAACAGCATACAGTTTACTGTCAAAAGTTTACATCATTTTGAAAGCAAACAAAGTAATGATTTAAATGACAATATAACTGACGGGTAGTACAGTATACAGTATTTAGCATATCTACTGTACTGAATCCAAAATACAGTATAGACTAACTGTACTATAAGTGAATTTAATTACGAAATACTGAACTGTCAAGTATTAGTCGGGGGCTCATGAAAGTGAGTGCGTGAGTGAGTGACCCCTTGGAGACCTACTTATCATATGATTGACACTTTGGTGGCAATGAATGAGTGATACGTTTGTAAGTGATTGAGGGATACATACAGTGGTTGAGTGAATGGACACCAGTAGTGGTCACGCATTGAAGCCATCGACACATTGACTCAACACTTGAACCACTGAACACATCCGACACACGGTTGCAGACATTTGCAGACATTTGCAGACATTTGCAGACATTTGCAGACATTTGCAGACATGTCTGATCCCAATGTCAACTACGGCTACATTAACCTCACAGCGAATCCACCGACACATGAATTGGACCAAAAGAGACGCAAATTAAACCAATGCTTCGGTGGTCTCACCGACGATATCATTGAGGAGTTGATCTCAAGTCTACCACTGATTAATAAATTGCATTTGAGATCAGTTAGCAAACAGTTGAAGTCATGTGTGGATCAACTGCTCGCCAAAGAAGAGACCATTGTATTTGTCAACACTTACGGCCAGTCATGCGATGTATTCACTGGTGATCACAAGAACGCCATCGATGTCAACGCCATTGGCAAACACTTCAACGATAAGAATGACCATTTGATCCAATTGTTGGCCAAATGTCCGCAATTGAGACGAATCCATGTCTTGAATAACATCCGAATCGGTAACGAAATGCTCGAATGGCTCGCCAATCGATGTCCACAATTGGATTCGTTATCACTAGTGGACTATCGGTGCGATTATCACACATTTGATTGGATCAGATTTGGAGACACTTTCGCCACTCGATTGGTTTCACTGGAGATCGAGTGTCGACTCAATCAACACATATCTGCCCCGCGTTTGTCCCAATTGGTAGCAAAACTGGTGAACCTCCGAGAGCTAAAGATAGTGTGCCCGCAAAGAGGTCTGGAACAGGTGTTCGCCAATTTGCCACCAAATCTGGTCCGACTTGAGATCAAGTACTGTATGGGTTTGTATTCGCACGAAATGAAAGCACTAATTGATGGCAACGGAAAGGGATTACAAGAACTGGTCATTCATTACCAGACGGCGGGGAAGACCATCGATCAAATCTCGGCGTTTGCTCTCATCTGTACCTCACTATTGAATCTCAAGACATTGTCTTTCAATCACAGCTCACTCTCACCGCAAGCGTTGGCTTTGGTCTCAAATTTGCCGAAATTAGAGAAATTGAGCCTTAATTTCAACGGTATTATAGACAAGTCTGTGACAGGAGTGATAGCTATGTTTCTCAATCTAAAGGCTGGCAAATCAGTTGTTTACGGAAGAGACAACAGTGAAGCGTATTGAGTCAGTAGACACCTACGTTACTCACGACGGTAAACCCACGCTTTGTTCCCAAATCTCAGACACCTCTGCCTTATGACACACTTTAAGTGCAAGTGTCAGCCCTTTGTGAAGAATATCTACTGCTACTCATGCATCCATAGCTGTTTCCAATCCCTGTCCAACATTCGGACCCTGCGCTCAATTGATTTCGCGAATCCCGAAGTAATCAAATATTACAATTTCATTGAGCGCTTGGATCAAATCGATTCATTCGCTGCAAACATGTCTTATCTAATGAACAGGAGGTCGGTGTTGGAAGTGATTGGCATCACTGAACGCATTGCTCTTAAGCGCCCCAATCGGGTCCTCAATGTCCGACTCTATCACATAAAGTGTGGACAACATGTGGAAGCGTTGCTCTCCAAGAGGACCATTCCTCGCAATTTGAGATTTACTTTCCATTCTGAATAGACTTAACAT